TTTGATCGATTTTGGCTGTTTTTCTTTTGTTTATTTAATGTTTATTATTGTATAACTAACACAATATAAATCCACATTTCAAACTTTGAGCAAAAATTATAAAAAATCTGCAAAGTTTCAGCTAGATTTTCATGTTTTATTCAGATTTTTTAGAATTTTTATTTAGTATGCAGTTTGATAGCCCATTAAATTCAAGGGCAATAATGTGCAAACTTTAAATTGCTAAAGAGTCGCGTTGATTTTTAATGCTTTTTTTTTTAAACCGCAATCGATAAGTACGCCATTGATGTGTTATTTTCGAGTATTCGCCGAGTTCAGCGTTTACATCTTTATTTCGCGTTTATTGAAAAGAGCACGAAGAAGTTTGCAGTTTCGTTACAAATATTTGTGAGGTTATGGAGCGTACACCAAGAAGGAAAAGCCCTCGTTTCCAAGAGGAGCAGATCGTGGGAAAAAGCAATAGCACGGGGAGACCAGTGGTTGATACAGCGATGGATGCAGATGTAACCACCGACCATACGAGCCAGGCACAGCAAAGTATCCCGAGTACCAGTTCAGCCAGATCAATTAGTGCTGTAAGCAGTGAACCACCTTAGCCTGTCGTGGTGGAAGCTGACCCCGTAGATCAGCGTGAGGCACAAGATAACATTATTTCTATTCTTCAGAAGCAAATTTCGTCATTGGAATGTGAGCTGAAAAAGGTACAAGGTAAGGTTAGGGAAAGTGAGGCGCAAAATTGCCAACTTAAAGTGGCGCTTCATGAACACGCATCGTCGCTTCCCGTTATGTGCGAAACGGTCAGAGATCCTGTTACATGCTCCGTTGGTCGCTCAGTGCCAAGCACCGCTGCTCTGCCTGCCGCGCCAAACTTCNATGAGCTGAAATGTGAAAAAGGTACAAGGTAAGGTTAGGGAAAGTGAGGCGCAAAATTGCCAACTTAAAGTAGCGCTTCATGAACACGCATCGTCGCTTCCCGTTATGTGCGAAACGGTCAGAGATCCTGTTACATGCTCCGTTGGTCGCTCAGTGCCAAGCACCGCTGCTCTGCCTGCCGCGCTAAACTTCGACGCCGCTGCCGGCGCCTTTCAAGGCGCTATGAACAACTACGCTGCCGCGAGTAGAGCCGCTCTGCCTGCCGCGCCAAACTTCGACGCCGCTGCCGGCGCCACTCAAGGCGCTATGACCAACTACGCTGCCGCGAGTAGAGCCGCTCTGACTGCCGCGCCTAACTTCGACGCCGCCGCCGGCGCCGCTCAAGGCGCCATAACCAATTCCGTTGCCGCGCGGGGCGCAGCTCTGCCTGACGCGCCAAATTTTGGTGTCGCGACTGGCGCCGCTCAACCTGCTGTGAGCCAGCACACATCCTCAAGTAGCGTTGCTCTGTCTACCGTGCTTAACCTCGCCGCTCAGTCTGCTCCGTCCAGCTACGCTGCCGCGTATGGCGCCGCTCTGCCTGTGGCGCCTTATTTCACCGGCGCTGTCGCTCCTGCTGCCGACCGCCGACGTTTATACCTCCCTGCCGCGCACTGCGGGCACCTATACCACCAGCGCTAGTTCCTTCGGAGCCTCAGCATCTCCTTCAGCGATTGCCAGTGCTACGCGTGCTGGCCTTGCCAACGCGTTTATTAGACCTTCGTTATCAGTAAATGACCATTCCATCGCTCCAGTTTCAGCTACCCCAGGTATGCCCTTTGGGGTGATGCAACCTCGAAAACTCCAAGATTTGCCGGAGTTCAGTGGTCTAGCCGAAGACTGGCCACAATTCATAACCGCGTTCACTCAGTCAACGTCTGCATATGGATACACTGATCTTGAAAACAACCAGCGCTTGCAGAAGTGTTTGAAAGGCGAGGCTAGAGAAACTGTGAAGTCCCTAAAAATATATCCGAACCATGTCAGTGCTATTATTGAACATTTACGCTTTCGTTTCGGGCACCCTGAGCAGCTCATTCAAAGCCAGCTTGCTCTCCTGAAAGATATAGCG